CTCAAAGGAGGAAATTTATATAAACCCCAAATCTGATATAGGAAAAAGGTAGATATGCATATTTGCTTAGTCTCTACTTCTAAGCCCAGGACATTGGCCTAGGACTCTCAATAAGCGATCTGAGATGGCTCTGGCTCTGGTGTCATTAATGTCACCATCGCTGAACTCAAAGAGGACTCAGGAAGCTACCTGTGTGCCACCGGGAAGGACTCCAAAGTCGCATCATTCCACACAAGCATGACCCCCTGGTGGTGACTCCAGATGAGCTCTTTGTTGAGGGAAGGGACCTTTCTGGGGGTGTCCAGAGACATAAAGCCACTCACTCCCTATTCAACCTTCTTTACCCCAGATCTTACCAGTTCCCTCTTACACTGATTATATGCAGTTGGATCACCAGTCCCCAGATTTAGGCTGTCACTTCCATCCTTGGGTATATTGACCTGACAGGTAGAAGTTACATTCAGTGCCCTATTGGGTGGAGAACCCAGTTCACCCTCTGGCTCAGGCACACCTTACCCCAGAACTGGCCACCCTGTGTAGGCACAGGGAATCTGTGTGGGACCCTGTGATCTCGTTCTCCCCCAGGCTAGATATGCTGGGTTTTTTGGATGTATGTCTGAGGTAAGATCAGAAGGGGCTCAGATGGGTTTCTAATAGTGAAGGGACTAGGGTTTTGGGACAAGCGGCCTGTGCTATCTCCAGAGGACACCTCCTGAGTTCTCCTTGAGCGCAGGAGACCCAGTATCAGGCTTCTCTCTCTGCCCAGCGTGCTCCACCTCTGCCCTGCCTCTCATTCCAGCACCTCTGGGAGAAGCTCCCTCTCCTGAAGCCCCAGTCAGCCTTGGCCTGAGGGACCCTGAGGGGGCTGGCTCTGCACCCCCCCCCCCATCATCTAAGGACTCTGGGGCTCACCCTTTCTTTCTTCTGGGGACTCTGGGCTGATGTTGCTTTCTCTGTATTTTCATCAGTCACACTTGCTTTTACAGTCATGGTCAGTTCAGCCTCTTTCAGTGGCTCTGAGCACAAGTAGATCTGGGATCTCAGCAGACGGGAGGGGTCTGGGAAGGGTTAGACAGCTGACTGTGTGGCTTCTGACTAAGTAAGGGGAGTCTGGGGGGGCGGTCATAGAATCTGAAATGGGTCCCCAGGCTTCAGCTCAGAGTTGTACTGGGCTGAGATGAAGGAGCAGCTCTAAACTTCCTCCATGATGGAGCCCAGAAACAGCCACTTCTCAGAAATGAAAGGACTTCTATTTGTGTTGATTCACAAGTGAGGGAAATGAGGCCTGTCCAAGTCACTTGGCTCCTTCAGGGCCGAAGCAGGACTAGGACCCAGGCCTTCTGTCTCCTGGTCCAGTGCTCTTCCTGGCTCAGATATTCTCCAGGACACCTCTGGGTGGTCTCCATCCAGTTTTGCCTATTGCATATCTGATGTCTTCTCCCTGTACCCCACCCTTGTCTGCTTGTACCTCTAGCTCCATTGGTTCTCTGCTCCTGCACCGGCCCATTCTCTGCTACCAACCTCCATGACAGGGTCATTCCTGTCCCTGTGACCAATTGACTCTGGTCCCTTCCAAGTCCCTTGGAAGCCTCTGACTCTCAGAATGCAAGGTTCCTCCAGACCTGGGCTCAAAGTGCTTATTCCCCACCAGACAGGTCAGAGGGACTCTAGGTGTTGCCCCCACCTGTCTGCAACCTGGGCCCCACTGCCTCTTCATAGTGAGTTCATGTGGGTCAGGCCCAGAATCAAGCCCCAGCCCCAAGAACTTCTGGATCTGGACTCGGGGAGTGCAGGAGACAGCGACCACCCCAGCTTTTGTCCTCCTTGCTTCTTCTCCTTGGTTTATCTGAGGATACAAAGTCCCCCTCCTCCAGTTCTGCCACCACCAGTGCCCTGGTCCCCATGCTGTGTGGACTCTTTGCAGCCAAGGGCCTGGTGCTGTCAGCCCTGTTTATGCTCCTGTGCTGGGGGTGCTGGGTGAGTGGGGCTGGGTTTGACTTGGGGGTGGAGGGCAGGAGCAAAATGGAGCTGGGAACACCTGTGCTGGGAAAGATGGTCAGCGAGAGGGGAGAGGCAGAAGTCACAGAGGTGGAGTTTGAAAATCATACTTGATACTGATTTGAGTTTCCCTTAATCCTGCTCATCTCTGCCTACTCATATGTTTGTTCTAAGCCACCAAGATTCTTAACCTTCAAACCTGCAGACTTCTTGCTCAATGTACCCATACACACACACACACAGACATAAACACACACACACACACACACACACAGTTGTTTGTTCTAAGCCCCCAAGACCCCTAACCTTCAAACCTGCAGACTTCTTGCTCAGTGTACCCATAAGCACACGGACATAGACACACACGCACACACACACACACCCCTTATCCACTTCTTCAAGACAACCAACCTGTCAATCAGAAAGAAGTCACCGCTGGAGGAATGACAGAGACCTGGAGAGGTGGGGCAGGCTGGGAAGAAGAACAGGACCAGAAAGCGCATATACTTTGTTTGTGAAATTCCTTCTTCTTACTCCCTGGGGCCATGAGAACACTCTAGGAGCAGAAGCAAAGTAGGTTTCTGATGGCCCCAGCTCGGCCCAGGCCCAGGAGCAATGCCCACACTCCCACATCTGCTGTTGCCCCTCCATGACCACTGTGACGCTTTTTGAGGAAAGGGCCATTCTGTGCCTGTGAGAGATGCCTCCTAGCCCCTGAATTTATGACTGGTGGCACCCAGGCTTCCCCAGTGTGCAGACCCACCCGCTTGGGACACTCTGTGCATATGGTCCAACACCCCAAATGGTGGGGCCCAAACCCAATTCAACCTCTTTTTCCCCAACCTTAGGATCCTCTTTCTCCTGATCTCCTCCTGCTTCTCAGTTCATAAATCACTCAGACCACCACCTCTGTCAGCTCTGGTTCCCCTCTACCTCCCCTGGCTTCCATCCTTTTCATCAATTTGAGCTGCTTTGCCTTACACTCACATCCATGTGTCTGCCCCCAACTGTTCCCCACTCTCAGTTTCTGCCTCTTTAGGAGCTCTGTAGAGGACTCCTAGTTTATTCTTCTAGAGCAATTCTGACATTGCCACACCCCCTCTTAGAAGCCTGCCGGGATTACCACTCTACAAGAAATGTACCCCAGCTTCCTCAGGGCCAGTATTGTCCCATTTCTGCCACCTCCAGGTCAAATGTGTCTCTGCAAACCCAGAGAAAACCCCACTGTCTTGAAAAGGCAAGTGGTATGTGTTTCTTCCTGTGCTTAGATTTTAATGGCTGCACGTCCAAGTGTGCAGGGGTAGAAAGGATAATCAGGCCCACTGGCATTTCTCTCTTCCTGCCACCAAACTTTGCAAATGAGGTCAAATTTAAAAAAGAAGGCAAATCCCAGTCAAACAAGAAAAGTAACCATCAACAGAGATAAGGTTTGTTTTCTTCATGTTCTCATTTCTTAAAAATTAAGATTAGGGTGGGAGGATAGGATGGATGTTGTTTAAGGGTAGAAACTTGCAACGAGTAGTAAATAAGCCCTAGAGATCTGATGCCCAGTGTAGTGAACACAGACAACAATACTGTATTATCATCATCAAACCTGCTGAGAGGTTAGAACTTAATTATTCTAACCACTAAAAAGAAATGATAATTATGTAATGTGCTAGAGGTGCTAATTATCACTGTAATGGCAATCAATCATATTACCATATATAAATGTATTAAATTATCATGTACATCTTAAATTTATATAACGTTACTTGTCAAATATATTTCAATAAAAAATTAAGATCAGAAAAATCAGAATGTCAGAAATAGAAGGCTCAACAGCCCAAAATACAAGCAGGAGAATATGACTCTATTTCCTGCCTTCATTAATACTCTGACAATCAAATACCTTCCACATCTGAGGAAAATGAATCACATGACAGTAAAGATTCAACATAAGCACACAGAACACCTGAATTTAGAATTAATGACAATAATTTGTAGAATGGAAGAGAAACTTTCAATAATTGAAACAATCATCCTCAGAGATATTAACAAAGACATTGTGCCTTTTATTAATCAGGCATTTACAAACTTAAGCAAACTGCAATATTATTTTTATTCATTAATTTGACAAATCTTTAAAAAGATTGCTCATACACGGTATCAGTGAGGGTGTGGGGAAGCAAGTGTTATCACATGTTAATGGTGGGAATATAAATTGTCCAACATTTCTGTGTGTCATCGTTACGTAGGGCCATGCTAATCTTCTCTGTATCGTTCCAATTTTAGCATATGTGCTGCCGAAGTGAGCATGTGTTCAACAGTTTTGAAAGTGAATAGGAAGAATCTATGAAGTTTAAGGTGTGCATTCTTTGACTTGCTGATTCTACTTCTATGTACTCATCCCTGAGAAATATACACATACATGGGCACGAAAGGACACGTACGAAGATATTCATCACACATTGTTTATAATAGTCCTTGTTGAGAGTTTAGCTGAGCTAAATGTATTGCTGCCTCTGCACCCATGTTGTTTAGCTAAGAGGCCTGCAGGAACCCTAAGTGGACACTAGCCCCCTCATGTAAATGCATGCCATAGATTAACGGTTCCCAACCTTTTGGGCACCAGGGACCAGTGCTCCTATGAGAATCTAACACCTGATGATCTGAGGCAGTGATGCTAGCGCTGGGGAGCGGCTGCAAATACAGATGAGGCTTTACTCACTCACCTGCAGCTCATCTCTTGCTGTGTGGCTCAGTTCCTAACAGGCCACTGACCAGTATCAATCTGTGGCCTGGGATTTGGGAACCCCTGCCATAGATAACAACGTGCAGAGTCACAGGCAAATGTTAATTCCTGATCTGACTTCCCCAACAATCCTTGTGATCAACAGTCTTCCCTGCCTCCCAGAACCTGCACCCCACCATCCCCACCAAACCCCAGCTATTTTTGGTGTGAATTGACCACTCTGGCCTCAGCCTGGAAACCCTAAAGCACTCCACCTACAGACACTAATGAAGGCATTTGCCCCAGATCCTGACTCCATCTGTGCCCTGCCTTGACCAACTCCTGTGGCCCCTGGAGGCATACTGTGTACTTCCTCCAGGATCCGTGAGTGATAAACTTCTCTATTTTAGTTTCTCTTGTGGTCTTTTGTTGAACCTCTCTGCTCACCATCCGGCACCCTGTACTTAGCTTAAGAACTGTTAATTTAACAAAGTCATAGCATCTCCACAGGGCAACAATAAATAACGTTGCACCTCTTCTATGTAGCATCATGGAGCAGCTCAAAAAGAATGTGGAGCATCTTATATGTGAACATAGCTCGCATATAACATCTTGTTAAATGGAATGGTTGCTGCAGAATGGCACTTATAGTGTAATCCCACTGACGTAAAGTAAAATGAATTCAGACTCTGCATTTGTATGTGCACATAAGCCTCTATCTGTAGAAACACAGAGGTTGCCTGAAAAGCTGAATAATCACTGGACATTGGAGGTAACTTTTGAGGGAAGGAGCCTGATTAGTGTTGGGGGGAGGAGGGGCGAAGGCAACTTTAATTCTTAATCTATATACTAAGCAGTGTTTGTTTTTAATAGAGTCTTGTGTAATGAAAATAATATTTTAAAGATTATATTATGTGAACAAGTATTTTAAATGGTAAGGAAGGTGGAATGGGGGAAATGGGCAACACAGGGGACCCGGCAGCCTTTGCTCCCAGAAGCCAGCTCTGGAGGGGTGTGTGGTGACAACCCCAGGCCAGTATGCAGAGTGTGGGCTTCCTGTGTCCTGTGGTGGTGAGGGACTTGTCTGAAAGTCCATGGGGTCGTTAGAAATTAAATGAAAGTGCAGGGGAACCAGTGAGAATATACTATTCAGGAGATAGGACTACAGAGAGGGGCAGGAGGCAAACTTATGGCCAGGAAAATCATGACAAGAGCCCTTAATGGCTGGTGGAGGGGCTGGTGAAGGGCGTGATCAGTGGTCTGCTAGGGCTCCTGCATCTGCAGAAAAGTCTGCAGGAAGGTTTCCCATAGTGGAGCAGAAGGAGCGTTGCCAGGCCCTGCCTCAGGCCTTGGGAAATCTTCCCAAGACCCTCACAGAGCCTCTGACCTGAGACTGGGCTTGTCCAGACAACTTCAGGTGTATCCTGTACTGTCCAGTTATCCTGGGTGGGAGGAGGGGGGATGGTCTGCCACAAACACCCCTGTCATTGCTGTTTCTGGGGTTCAAGGTGGGAGCTGCCTCCAGGCACTCATCCTGGGGATGCCAGGGCAGGCCAGTGCTAGGGTGGCTACATAAATTCATCTTAAGTCAGCTCACCAAGGCTGCCAATGCATCAGAACCATTTAGAGTGCACCTATGGCATCAGACAGACTTACGTCTCAACTCCAACTTCTGCAAAATGGAGAAGACAGTATCTAGTTCACAAAATTATTGTGAGGATTAAATGAGACATTGCATATAAAAACTCAGTGCTTAGATACTGGCTATTATCAAAAGTAAAGGAATTCTAACTTCTTTTTATTTTTGAAAAATATTTCTTTCTGCACTGTATAAATCTATTAAGGGAGCTACAACATCTCTAATGTTTATTTGTTCTCAAAAGGGTCCTATCATTTAAAAAATAAAAGTTAAGCAGCAAAAGGGGGCATGTCAGACTCATATTTCCTCAGGACCTGGAAATGTCCCCACAGTAAAACAGGAGGGGGTATTCTCTAAAGGGTACATCAAACTCACATCTACTCCCCCCAAATTTTAGATTTCAAGGTATCTAAGTCATAATGTCATGCCATAAAGAACTTGGGCTCTTGAGACATACACTGTGTTTAGGGTTCTTACTCTGCCTCTTTGGGGCTCTGAAGGTTTTGAGCAAACTCCTAAACCTCTAAGTCTCGGTTACCAACTTTCTTAAATAGATGGTAATGGATCCCTAATGTGAATATCCTGGGAATAAATGAGTAAAGCCTTCTAAACATTTATAGAAGTGCCTGTTTCATGGTATCTCCCCAATTAATGTCTGTCATCATTAATAATCAACATCCACAATATCGTGTTTGCTTGACTTTTAATTACATATATGTAGACGTGAAATAACTGTACAGAAATCTTCTAAAAGAAAATAAAAATAAATTTTATCTTTTTTTTGTGTATGTGTGTGTGTGGAGCGAAACTTTCTTTCATGATCCCAATGTCAGAAACTATATAGGGAAAAATGGTAAGTCATACTTTATACAAATTGAAACTTGGAGATTATAAAAATATATGATAACATTTAAAAGGAAATTACAATTACTAATAAATATTTATTTCCTATTTGGAAGATAAAGGATTATTAGACTTCATATAAAAACAAGTCTTTTAAATAATAAATGAAAATGAATATTTCAATAGAAAAAGGGGGTAGGTCTATGAGTGGGTAATTTTCTGCAGAAGAAATATAAATGAATAATTTTAATAAATATATTCAAAGTGTATATTATTAAAATAGTTGCAAAACCTCTCTTCTTATCAGATTGACAAAAGTTAAAATAAATGATGATAATTAGGGTTGGGGAAATTTTAGGAAAAAGGGAACGGTATATTCTGCTGGGTGAAAATAATTGATACCACTTTTCATGAACGAGTGTGGTGAGATTAATCAAAACCTACTTAAAAAAATATTTAACTCAGCTATTCTAAATCTAGAAATTGAAAAAGGGTATAAAGGCTGTTGTTGTATTGTTTTGTTTTCAAATTTCATCAAAATAATGAATATGTAGATCTTCAAAACTTGTAGCTCCAAAATGATAGATTATAAACTCATATTAATAAAAATGTAGCAGCTCTATGCTCCAACACTCTATACTCCAATTCTCTTTCTCCCCAGGGAATCTTTTTGAAGCACATTCACGTTCATTCTTATACTGATAGTTTTCTATTTTGCAGTTTGGAATGTTATCCATTAAACATGTACTATGAAAGATGAGGCTTGCTTCTCTTTCCTACTCCCATGCCTGTCCCTTCTTCCCGTCTGTATTCTCCTAATAGTCAAATCTAGTTACTAGTAAGATTAATTCTTAAATTTTATATTTCATGACCATGTATATATTTTTCATAGCCCAGTCATATAGTTTATTAAGATTACATTTCCTTTTTGGTACCACTTTTAATTTTCCATGATGTTATTAATTACCTTATTTTTTACTTGCTTCATATTCTATGTATCATCATGAATTCATGTCTAAATTTTACCCTCGCATTCAAATTTTATCTAATATGTTTGAACATTTCAGTTCATCAACTGGTTTTGTTCTTCTAGCACATCTCCACGTGGTCTAATGTCCTCTTGTCCCAATTGAGACTAGTTCCCTTTGGGCTTTGGGCACAGCTGCCTTCCTGACACATCACTTCCTCTCCTCCTTGGGAACCTCCTTAGTCCCCATCCAGTGCTGACAGTGCTTTCTTTTGATCCCATGTTCAACTCTTCCTTTGTTTGTTCTCTCCTTGTAGGACAAGGGTTGGCAAACTAGAACCCTTGAGCCAAATCCGATCCATTGTCTGAATTTGTAAATAAAGTAACTGTAGACATGCTCCTGCATTTGCACGTTATCTATGGAAGCTTTTCTGCTACAATCGCAGAGATGAGTAATTGCAACAGAGATCTTATGACCCACAAGTGCCAAGATATTTACTCTCTGGACCTTTACAGAAAAAGTCTGCTGACCTCAGAGATGGAAGATGACCAGGAATGGAGGGGCAGCTAATGTGTTTCTGAAGGAGAAGCAACACAGGGAAATGAAGAAAGAGAACACAAGTACCAGATATAGGTTTGATGGAAGAAAGACCTTCTGAAGTGACTGAAGACATATGTGATGCTCTGTTAATAATCACTGAAAGAGGTGTATCTTTCAGCGCAGGCTAGATTTTGCTGGAGTAATGAACAACCTCAGTGGGTTCACACAAATAATGTTTTCCTTGCTCCTGTGAAGTCCAGCACCATGACTGGATGATTTTTCAGGGCAGTAGTTCTCTGTGTGTCAGTTCGGCATTGAGGCCAGATCAGACACCATCTGGGGGTGGCAAAGGATGAGGAACCCCATCAGGTATCGAGGCTATCCATGTAGAGTCTTCACCTGCAACGTGGGCTGCACCTCCTATACTTGGCCCTTGAAGGACACAGAATTAATGCTGAGCTTTAGCAGGAGTATGGAGAAGTGGAAAGAGCCCTGACTCAACCAGGGCCCCACTCTCGATTAACCCATTCATATGTTTTCTCGGGGGGCGGTGGTAGGAGGTATTAGGAAAGAAGGAGCTCAGACCCGGTCAGCT